GGCTTTCGATCTGTCATAGAAACACCTTAGTAGAAAATCGCTTCCTGTCTCGTAAATTGCGACCAAAGTCAAAAAAAATTTCCTGATGAATTTAAAGTAAAAAAATAATTATTTAATAAATTACTTTAAAAATTTTGTGGAACACATATTATATTCAAAGCTATATGTTTTATTATTAATGCACTTGTCACTTTATTAGTATAATAATAAAACTTTATTTATATAAATGATTTACATAATTATTACATTATATAAGTAATTTTATCTAATAACAATTTAGATTTTAGCATATAAAAATAAATTTAAATTTTTTTTCTCATATAATTAAATTTTTATATTTTACAAATTAAACTTTTACAATGTCTAAAACTCATGAACTTATAGAATTTGAACAAGGAAAGGTAGTCATAATGAACGTGACATTAGAAATATTCTTGATTTTCCTAAAATTACCATTCATGATACCATTGAAAGATACAGAAATGAAAATCAAATCTCAAGTGCTCCTAAATCAGATAGACCTCCTAAGTTGTCTGAAAGAAGTATTAGACAACTTATAAATATTGTTAAAGAAGATCAATAACAATCATTAGAAGTTCTTATACCATTAAACGTACTTTATATATTGAAGGCTTTTATGGTTATGCAGAAAAAAGAAAACTTTTAATATTTGAAACTAATCGTAAAAAAAGATTAGAATGGTATAAAGAAAAAAATTAGAATTCAGAATGGAATACAGTAATTTGGAGTGATGAATCAAGATATTTATTATTTCAAAATGTTGTATATTATTGAATTTGACATTTTCCAAATGAAAAATATAATGTGAATTGTTTAATTCTAACTATAAAGTCAGGAAATCAAAATATAATAGTGTAGAGATATTTTATTAAAAATAAACTTGATCCTTTAATTCAAATTTCTGGTAAAATAACAGATTCTGTATATATAGAAGTTTTGAAAAACAATTTATTATCTTTTATTAATGAATTAGATAATAATTTAGAATATGTTTTCAAGATGATAATGCACCTGTTCATAGAGCTAAAATAGTTAAACAATGAATAGAAGATAATTCAATAAAAAATATTTCTTAGCCTACACAATCTCCAGATCTCAATTCAATTGAACATTTATGGGATGTTTTAGAAAGAAAAGTTTGTAAACATAATTCACATCCAAAAAATCTTATTGAATTAATAACTGTTTTAAATAAAGAATGGAATAAAATTGATATAGAAAATTTAGTAGAAAGCATGCCAAGAAGAGTTCTAGCTGTAATAGATAGTAAAGGTAATCCAACAAGATATTAATAATAAAAAAGTAAAATTAACATTTTAAAAAATTAAACATGTAAACAGATTTATTTATTTATTTAATAAAATTATTATTTTTATATATATTTTTTAATAATTTTACATTTTAAATTATATTAAAATAAAGTCAAATTTTCACTAGTTACTTCAAGTATATTTTTAATAAAAGTTTGAGCACATATCCTTGGCTATAAAGTTTATTAGAAGTATATTTAATAGTTACTAGTGAAAATTTTGACTTTACTTAAACACAACTAAAAATAGCCGAAATTATATTTGAGATTAATAAACAATTGTTACGATTAACGTATATAAAATATAATTATATACTAATAAAATATCAAATATAGTACTAAGTAAATATAAAGATAATATTATTGTGTATATACTGTAAAAATTTCAGATCTGTATCATAAAAATTAAAGGAATGATTGATGACTAAATTAAAATAAATAATAAAATAATATGTTCTTTAAAGTTACTTAGTAACGTTTATAATATTTACTTGTAAAATTTTAAGTTTTATTCATAAAAACAATTGTAATTTTCACTTCGATTCTAAAGTGATGTCATTGTAAAATTAAATGTATTGTCGATCACTCTAAAATTGAAGTAAAAATTACAATCGTTTTTATGAATAAAACTTCATATTTTATAAGTAAATATTATAAACATTACTAATAAACTTTAAAAAGAATATAATTTTACATTTATTGTAAAAATATTAGACGAATATCTTTTAAATTAATGAAATAATTAACGATTATATATTTTAATTTAGACACTAATAATTCCTTCAATTTTTATTATATAGGCCTGAAAATTTTACAGTAGATGCACAATATATTTGTCTTGATGTTTACTTAGTACAATATTGATTATTCATTAGTAAATAGTTATGTTTTTTATATGATAACTTTAGCAATCATTTGTTAATCTTTTAGCTGTTTTTAGTTCAGTCTAAGTAAAGTCAAAATTTTCACTAGTTACTATCAAATGTGCTTCTAATTAAAGTTGTAGCTTATATTTTTGGCTACAAATTTCTATAAGATTCTTTATAGTTACGATCAATACTTATCGAAATCGAATAATTATAAAGTTATAGTTTTAAAATTCAAATTTTGAAAAGTTTTCTTTAAGTTAAATTTTTTCAACAAATATCCATTTAATTTCAACATAAAAGGTATTATATGAAAGGCCAGAATCAGAGGAATAAAACAAAAAAAAATTGACCCAATTTTATAAATTAGATCATGTTATTAGCAAATAAAAATTTACTTAAAAAATACGAATTTTTAGGTGGTCAGCAGGGGAGTGTATATTAGATGATATTGTAATTTTCAATTATATACTATTTGGTATATCAGTCATAAAATAAAAAAGATAAATCACACCCCTCCAAATCACGGCATAGACGTAGAATATTGATTTTTATTAAATATTTTGGGACTTGGAATTTTTTATATGCAAAAAACATTTGTCACCCAATATCTGTCACTAGTATCTGTCACGTGGACGTGACATGTGATGCATTTCTAATCACCTGTTAAATTATGAACCAATAAAATTCAAAATTCACTGGGGTGAAAATTTATACCGTTAAAATGAAATATGGCAACTTAAAGGATCCAACTCGGGTTTATAAAAATTATATTATTAATACTATTATTAATATTTGATTTTATTTTAATTTTTTAAAGAAATGTTCAGATGATCACGGATCAATCGAATATTTGTATCTAATGTTGTATCTATATATTTTTTAGTAACTTTATATGTATATCAATTTAAGAACGTTTCAATTTTTTTTTTCTAGTCTTAGGAATCAACATTATTATATATAAATTTTTAATTATTATCTCAGTCAAATACAAAAACTAAAAAAAAAAATAAATAATAAATTTTAAATAATAATAAAAAAAAATCATCATTATCTATTATAAATGGTAATATTATTTTTTAATGAACCAGATCGTCTAATTCTTTTTCTTCCCGACGATCGAGCTCTGAATTAGCAAATGAAGCAGTATCGTCAAAATCAACGTCCCCCTAAGCAAAAAAATAAATAAAAAAAAAAGTTTAATAAATAATAATAATTGATGAGTGAATAATATATATATATATTTATTTATGTAACCATACCCGCACTGAGCCAGTACCAGTCGTATTCACTATATTAAAAAATATATATATAAATATATATATATAAGATCATGTGGAAAAAATAATATCGAAAAAATCTAATTTTTTTCTTACCTTCCATACTCAGAAGACTCATGTTATCACGTTCATCGTCAACTGAAGCTACTGAAGCGACTGAAGATAAAACATCATCATCCATTTCACCATTAACATTTCTAATACTATTTACTAGACGGTTTTGTATAGGAGTTGCAAGGTTTGATGATAAATTTCCATCGGGATATTTTTCCTTTATTTCTATTTGTAATCAAATATTTTTAAGTTCTTATAGATAGATATATAAATATAAAGATTATATATAAATTGCATATACATACCAGAAATTACGTCTTGTTCAAGTGCATCTTTATAATCCACATATGCTGTGGCAGGGATTAAATTATTACGAGATTTCTTGGCAAGTTCCTCGGCAATGAGAGACTAAAAAAAAAAAAATTTATATTTTCTTATTATATGTTTCTAATTCATAATAAAGATTAAAAAGTAAAAAAACCTACATATTTAAAATCTGGAAATAAATTCTCATAATCTGCTGGATCTGCTAAAGCTTCTGCCGCTTTCTTTTTATTACCTTTTTCGAGTAATTCTTTCCATAATTTAACTATTCTTGAAACTTGACTATTTGATAATTTATTTATTTAAAAATTTTTTTTTTATTAATCATGAAATGACAAATTTTAATAATATTTTTTTTCTTCATAACCTAACAAAAATAAAACAATAAAACAAAATAAAACAAAATCAAACAAAATAAACCAACCTAGGAATATATGTTCGAGCAAACATAGCTGCTTCTGGAATACGATCAGTTTGAATTAATATTTCTATACAATCTTCAACTTGACCAAGTTGTAGATAAGATGCAAACGCTATATTATTTTTTCCTTCTTTCGCTATATTAAAATAGATAAAACTAATGTTTTTTAATGAATAAATAAATTAATTAAATAAAAAAAAATGGATTGATAAAAATCTAATTTACCAGCTAGTTCGGCTAATTCCTTTATACCTTTAGAGTTTCCGGAAGCAGTGTATAATAATAATAATCCACTCATATCTTTAGCTTTTTTGAGACATTCCTCTGCTAAAGAAAACTGTTAACATTTGATTAAAATTTTTAAATTATTTTAAATTTTAGTAATCATGATATTTATAATAATTCAATTAAATCATATTTACAATTTGGTTATACATTAAATTTAAGACGAATATTCTATGAAAAAAATAAATGAATATTTCGAAATTTTTAAAAAATATTATTATACAAACCTTCCATGAATTTAAGGCTGAATCACCAACAGTCTTCCATTTAGAATCAGTATCAACTTCACGTGCAATTCCTACAGCAACATCAAGTTTGTTGAGCAGTATAGCGAGATCAAACTTATGCTCTACATCTGTAGAAACTTCTAGTGCAAGTTTTTTTAAGTCTAAAATATTAATCAAAGAAACGCATGTTAAATTTTATTTTTTTTTTAAGAATATCCATTTGAATTTATTTGAATATTTAAACTCATTTAAATTATTTGAACCTTGACTCTCCAAAAATCTTGCGATTCGATTCCTTTGATCATTATGGATGGAAGGAAGCAATTCTTCAGCAGTTTCAAGATCGTTCCGAAGAATTGCAGTTTGATATTCAATAACGGTTAAAGAAAGAGCATAACTAAAAACATTGACATCCTAAATATAATGAAAATAATTATTTAACTAATGTTTCTAAACTTTAATAATTATAGTAAATAAATAGAAAATAGAAAATTGTACTTTATCAGCCAAATATATACGATTGTCCCTTGGGATATACCCCAATAAATACATGTTTCTAAATTAAACAAATTCGAATTTATTATTATTTTTTTTTTTTTAATTAAAAAATTCCGATAAAAAAAAAACCACATTTTACTCACGTATCAAAATGGCTTATTGTAAATGTTTGAGCCCCCACGAGATAATTAAGACGATTTACTGTATTTGTGTATATAAAACAATCGCCAACCCATGTACCTGTTTTAATGCTATACATGAAAATTATATAAAAATTATATAAAAATTATATAATAATTATTCGAAAATGTATAATTTCAATCCTTATTTTTTTTAATGTTTACCTTTCAGGAATCTCGGTTACAAACTCAAAAGCTTCTTCTACTCCTTCTTCACCTACCTCACCACCATTTTCTATGAACTGTACATACGCTTGTCGATTAAACCTTAATACATAGAAAGAATCTTCACAAGCAATAGTCACCAAATCTCCAATATCTGACCAATGTACCTAAACGATTCAAAAAAAATTTTTTAATGTATGTCATTTAAAAAAAAAAAATAATAAATTTTGTTTCTGAACTTGTTTAAAGATTTAAATTTCAAGCAAACGTACACTTTTTGGAATAACATCAATTCTTCTAATGACAGTAGCTGTTTCCCAATCATATAGATTCAAAAAGGAGGAACTTTTAACACCCAAAAGAGTACCTCCAAAAATCCCATCGGCTGGAAAATTCACTTTCAAAGCATTAGTTCTCTCTTTAAAATTTTTATAAAGTCTAATTTTGTTTGTGGACTCTCGTACAGCGTATCTATTAATTAATTAATTAATTAATGACAAAAAATTTTTAATGTAAAAAAAAAAAACTAGTAATAATAATATTAATAATAAATAAATAAATAAATCAATTCTAATGAGAAAAACTTACTCATTAGAATCCAATGCCCATACAAATTCAAGTCCATTTCCAAATCCTTTGTTTCTCCACGCTAAAGCAGTATAAATAATATATTCACCATCTCCACATACAACAACAAATCTGAAGGGAATATATATTAATAAAATAAAATGAAAAATAAGGTTTACGCAAAGCAATAAATAAATAAATAAAATTTTTTTCACCTTCCGTTCGGACTATGTTGAAGTGTTTGAGGGTACACTTCACAACTACCTAAATCCTTAACTGGTAATGGTAAACGATCTCCATCCTTGACATTATCATCTGATAAAATTTTTTAATGAAATAGAGATTTTTTTAATCTCAAGTATTTCAAAAAAAAAATAAAGATATAAATAAATTTTTTAAATTTACCATGGGTAGCCTTTATATTAGCAGTTTGAATTTCACTATGTTTGGCCCAAATTATTTTTCCTGAATTATCCATGCTTACTGCTGGCTCTTCTCGTCCTAACTATAAAATATTAAATGTGTGTAAGGATTATAAAATATCTAAAAATATTATTATTATTATTATTATTTTTTTTTTCTTTTTTTAAAAAAAGAAATAACCACCTTGACACAAACGGCTCCTTCATCATATCCAAAGGCAACATTATTGCTGGTTTTTTGATAAGCAACTGTCCAAGCTCGTTCTAAACCATAATTTAAAGTATTTTCTAATCGATAAGTATTAGAGTGCCAAATTTTAACCGTTCCATCTTCACTACCCGAAATAATGATTGGTAATTCGGGATGAAAACATGCAAATGCAGCATTTTGAGTATGTCCTTCTAAAATTTGAACACAAGTTTTATTTTGATAATCCCAAATTCTAACAAGTTTATCATCGGCGGCTGATACTAAATAAGGTTTTTCACCACCATGATAATAATCTACCCAATTCACTCCTTTATCATGTCCTTCAAGTGTAAAATTTGCTACCGCCGATCCAAGCGACCAAACTTTTATTGTACGATCCAAACATGCGGATGCAAAAGTATTTGAATCTTTTGGATTAAAATTTATATTCATAACGTAGTGTGTGTGACCTTCATATATCTGAAATAAGTAAGTTTGTGAGTTTTTTTTTTTTATTTTTATTTTTTTTTGTTATAAGTAATTATATTGGAAATTTTTTTTTATTTTCTCTTTGTATAAATTCATAAAAAAATAAAATAAATTTAAATAAAATAAATAAATAAATAATCAATTCTAAACCTGAATACATTTCCATCCTTTCTCCCAATCCCATAATTTAACTGTCATATCATCAGAACCAGTCAATACGAAAGGTTGAGTAGGATGTATAGCGATACATCGAATATAATCAGGATGAGCTTCAAACGTTGTGACTTTTTCGTGTGTATTATAATTAAATACGCGTATTTGCATATCATCTGATCCAGTAATAAGCCAATTCTTGCGAGCAATAAATTTTGCTGCACGAACTGTAAAAAAAAAAATATGAATTTTTAAAAAAGGAATATGAATTTTTTTTTTTTAAAAAAAAAAATAGGTTTATAAATGTTATAAATTCATTCATAATCAAATTATAAGTAAAAAAAAGTTACCTGGTACATCAGTCACTTCAAAAGTTTTCACTAAAGCCTATTAAAAAAAATGCACCAATTTATTATACCTTTTTTTTTTTTAGCCTGAAATAATTTATTTGGCTAAAAAATTTTTTTTACCTGTGATTCATAATTCCAAATATAAACATTGCCATTATACAAACTAGATAATAACCAAGTCTCGGTTGGATGAAAGTCTACACATTTTACGCGATCCGAGCGAGCAAATAACTTGCGCTGTCGCAAATAATTATTGTTAAATTTTACAATTAACAAAAATGCTTAGAAATAAAACATTATATTAATTTCAGATTATAACCTTGATCTCTAAACGCATTCCCTGATTTAAATGATCAATTTAATAATTATAATAAAAATGAAATTGAAAAATTAGTTTTGTGAGGTGAGGTTCGAGAATAAATTTAAAATTGATAATTTGCATTTTCCCACCATTTTGACGAATTTCTTTAATGTAAGTCTAATAAAAAAAAAAATTCGAAAATTGATTTTTTTTTTATTGATAATTTGTTTTATACATTATACATGCTACGTTTCACAGCATACGATAACACGTAACTTTATAATTTAATTAATAAAAAAGTTCTCTCACAATTTTTGTATATAAAATAAACGAAATTTCAAAAAAATAGTGCATTGTAATATATATATATATTTTTTTTTTGGAAAATATTTTATAATTATTTGTTAAAATATTTCGTTCACGATACATAATAATAATATTATTAATAATAAAGTGAATAAAGTGGATAAAAGCAACTATATTAACCAAAATATTTTCCATCATCAATAAATGTATCGAAACCGCTACCTGCCCCTAAGAACTCGGGGTCTTCGCCTGGACCCAATCCACCAGGGATTGCCCCACCGCTAGCGAGTAAATGTTGACTCTATATAAATACATAAATACATAAATACATACATATATATAACTAATTAATTAAACTGCACTGAGTTTTTTCACGTTACAATTTATATATATATATGCTCATAAATAACTTTTTTCTTACCTTTGCAAGATAATCTTTACTACGTCCGATTTCTCGATCCGTTTTAATAACACGTTCACTTACTTTGGTCGCTTTCGCGATTTGTTCCTCGAGGTGATTAATGGTTAAAGAAGTGTTATACATGTCTGGATTGTCATGAAAAGATACCATTCCGTTTTGATGAGAATGACTGATCGTAGCGAATATTTCACGAGATTCAATCTATGAAATATTTTGGAAATATATATGTAGATAGATGTTTATTTATTTATTTATATAATTAAATATTTTCCATATAATATTTAAGTAAAAATGTAAAAAATTTGATATACCATTCGAAGAACATAAGTTTCGGCTACTTTGGAGGCATTGCTTTCTTCCAAACCAACCGCTTCAGCAATATCGGCCAATGATAAAGTTAAATAGGTTTGAGTTAATTGTTGAATGTTTCTCCGATAAATCGCATCAAGTGTTTGTTTCGCTAAACCAAGATTTCTATCCTAGGTGACCAAAAAAAAAAAAAAAAGTATTAAAACTACAAAACACGATTCAAAAGAAATTTATGATACAAATTATTTATTTACTTTTCTAAAAGCGTCTGCCCATTTATTGAATTCGTTACGTAGTCGTTTCACGTTCAAACTCTCAAATGCTGCTGCATAATCTTGATAAGCTTGACAATGATTTTTAATTGAACGAAAGACCATTGTTGCAGTGTATTTGGGAAGTGGTGCAACCTTTAAAAAAATAATCAATTAAGTTTATTGTGATGAAATTTAACAAATTAAAATATCAAAAATTGATGGAAAAGAGAGAGAGAAATTTACTTTTCCATGTAAAAGGAGAGAAATCAAGTTATATTTTTTATATGCTTCAATTTGAATCTGACTTGTAACTTGTGCAGGTGCAGATATAACCTTAAAAAAAAATAAATGTTTTAGATTTGTTAAAGTTTTGAAGGGATAAATTTTTTTACGGAAGAATGTATTTTCTTACCAGTTTTAAAAAATAAAAAGCTCTTTCATAATTTTTTAATCCTATATATATCATCGCACCATAATAATGATATAATAGATGATCCACATAACATATATTTGTTCCCTATACAATAAAAATAGGAATTAATACTAAGTAATAATTAATAATAATATTTAATTAAGAAAATAAAAAATATTCCATTACCGCAGTTTCTATTTCAGTAATATCATTTTGCAAGATTTGTAATGCTTGCTTATAACATTTAGATAACAAACATTCCTTATTTGAAAATTCAAAAAAAAAAAGAAAAAATAATAATCATTAACGAACCGAAAACACAAAAATTATCGTAAAAAAGAACATTATTTTTTTTATTTTACCTTAACGAAAAATTGATGTACGTTCGTCAAATGATTTGGTGAAAGAGCATATCTTTTAAGAGCGTTCGCGAGAGGTTTAATAGCGATGACACTCTAAATTTTATCCCATCAGATATTTTTATCATAATTTAATAATAATGATCAGCAACGCCGTACTATATGACTCTTCTTACGTTTCCATATAGACCCGCTATTCTGCAAAATCCTTGTACAACTTGAAGAACTAAATTATTTTCAGATAGGTAAGGTAAATCATTATTATTATTATTATTATTATTATTATTATTATTATTATTATTATCTATTAATAAATAAAAAAAAATAAATTAAATTAAGGGATAAGAAAATCTCCTATACATACATTTTTCGGGAACCAAACGAACTTGTTGTGGATCGAATGATTGTAAAAAATTAAGAATGTATTGTAATAATTGCGCAGCATTCGGCCTTTCGATATTACACCGGGCAGAGCTGTTGGTAAATAAAAATCAAAAAAAAAAAAAAAAAATTTTTTTTTTTTTAGAAAAAAGAAAATTCATGATAAAATTTTACATAATTACTTACCCACCTTTTTTTTTTTTTTTGTCATAAATCAACTACTTACAGAAAGTATAAGTAAGCCAAACTACATAAATTTTGATCAAAAAGATCCAGAGGATCTCGATTCTCCAATGTACCCTGTAAAAAGAACTGCTGTGGAAGTTGTTTTAACATAGGAGCAATATGCTTAGAGACGGACTCTATTCCATCGCTATGATTTGAAATAAACTGAATAAGTTCATCAACTGTCACAGGAGTTTGTTGGACTGGCATTATTTTACTTTCTGTAATCGTTACAAAGTAAAAATTCGAAATTCAAATTGGCCACTTTCGTCAATATAGATATACACGGTGACACGCGAAAATGATACGACAATCAAATCAAGGTACATCATGTGATATTGGTCTTTAAAAAGTAATTTCTTATATTTCTTATATTCATATATATATATATATATATATTTATTAATAATAATTTATTTTCTATTAATCTTTTTCTTTTCTCTTCCAATAATTAAATAATTACACCTCCCGATAACACCTTTTTTAACAAAAGCTTTTGATTTTTTAACAATTTCTAAAATCTTTTCTAAAATTTCTAATACATCATTAGAATGTTTGGTTACCAATAACATTAAGATTTGACATAATTTAATATTATGAGGTAATCTTTCAATATTTAAATTTATATTAAATAATAAATTTGATAAAATCAATTGATGATGTTTATCTTGAGGGTCAAGATGAAAATTTTGACTTATTAAAGTGAAAATAATTTCAATCATTGAATCATTCCAGGGAGATTGAGGTAAAGAAAGGGAATGAGGGACATCATCGATAATAGTGTTATCAATATTGTTGTTGTCGATGTTGAATGTTGGATGAGATTGAGATTCAGAAAACATTTCACTAACAAAAAAAAAAATTTGTGAAAAAAATTTTAAAATCTATTAAAATCTATTAAAATTTATTAAAATTTATTAAAATCTATTAAATTCTATTAATTTTAGTAAAACTCACGTTAATAAGGTAACCAGCGAATTTTGATCTAATCCACTTTCAATTGTTCTCAAAATCACTTCTAATTGTGGAGGCGCTACAAATTAATAAAAATAATGAATATAATATAATATAATAAAATATACAATAAAATATATAATGATAAATAAGATAATAAATATAATACCAATTACGAAAGGTCCCATAATCAAAGGTAATATTAATCCAGAAACAATTGGTTTACTCTTTATTTTAGCAATATTTATTATATTAGTTAGAAAATTACGTGAGGGATTTGAAGTTAATTTCCGTAACTTAACGTTAATATAATAATAATAATAATGATAATAATTATAATGTTAATATATATAATAATATAATTTAAAATATATATATATATATATATGCTAATAATAAATATGATAATTAAAATTTAATACTTTACTTTTTTTAATAAAGTATATTTAAAGAACATCACATAATTTTGATAAGCGATATCATTACGTTGTATTATGTCGTTACATAAAATAGTCAAAATTTCATCACCATCATTCAATTCTACCAAACCTAAATTATCAAAAACTTCGTGAAGCTGTTTATTAATTAATTAATTAATACATATAATTCTAATAATAATATTAATAATGATGATAATAATAATAATAATAATAATAATAAATTATAAATATACCTGAATATGTGGTAATTTCATCAAACTATTAAATTCTGGTAAAATTTCTTTGACTTTATCAAAATTTCCAGTTTGAATACTCGATTCCAACTTAAATTTAATATTCTGAATTATTATTATTATTTGATTAGAAATTTCATTATTATTCTCTTTCATTTTCACTACTTTTGATGTTTTTTCTGATGTATTTTCTAATGAAGAAGAAAATTTCTTTGATGTTGAATGATCTATTATAATAATAACAATGATTATTATTTAATTCATATAAATTATTAATTCATATAAATTATTAATTTATATAAATTCATATATATATAAAATAAATTTACATACACAATTTATCATCTTCATTATCTTCTCCTTTTATGACTTTTTCATTTTCATTTCGTCTTCTTCGTTTTTGCTTCCTTTTACTATTAATATAATCTCGCGAAACGTATCATATATAATAAATAATAAGGAATTTTCTCTAGTCTTTTTATTATTATTATTATTATTATTATTATAATTACTCTTAACAAAAAAAAAAAAAAAAGAAAGGATATGAAAATTGGTTGTGAATTATTTAATGATATTGATGATGAGGATGATGACGATTCTTTTGCAAGGCCTAATTCGAAATTTATATAAAAATTAATATTTATTTTTAATAAATTACGTAACGCGATTATTATTATTATCTTTAATTAATTGCACGAAAAGTAATCGAATTTTTATAAACCTCGAATTAATAATGATTATTTAATGACAATTATAATCATTATTATTATTATTATTATTATTATTATTATTATTATTATAATCAAACATCACATAACACTTCACCTGGTAATATTCGGCTTCTATTCCCATTCGTTTTTTCTAATTCTTGTATCCAATTTTCGATATCCGAATTATCTTTAAATACTTGGTCTAAAGTGGGACTAGGAAATAGGTTTGCACTAATAATTAATTTTGACTTCCATTGTTGTAATAATTTTTTATGAATTGGATGAAAATTCGCCATTATTATTATTATTATTATTATTATTATTATTATTATTATTATTATTATTATGTACAATTATTATTTAATATTTTAAATTCGAGAAACTCGAAAAAAAAGCTCTTGAAAGAGGAGGCGCGTTTATAAATTGATCATCTAATTTGATCTACGGTCACGTGAATTAGCCTTGTTTTAAAAAGAAATTTATTTTTTACTTTTACAATGTATAACTGTAATAGACTAAATAGTGGAGAATATAAATAAACTCAAGTCTATGATATAGGTGACGTGTTCAAATTCTAACCCCACTAAATAGACAAAAAAAAAATACTATATATAATTTATGTTTAATGTTTAAATTCGTATTATCTGATAAATGTAATTATTATTATTATTATTATTATTATTATTTATCATTATTAATTATTATTATTTATTTTTATGCTTTTCACGTTTTCTAGAATAACTTCTACTATCATCGTGATTTTTTGGAAGTGGAAGTGGAGAAGCACCTAATCCAAGATGAGTAGGACGAGGTTTTGGTTCATATAATTCCTTCGCTCTTTTTTTTTTTTTGGAAATAAAATTTTTTTTTATATAGATTCTTTGTTAGATAAAAATTATCTAAAAAAAATATATATATACATATATATATATAATAATCAAAAGAATCAAATAATTAAATATAAAAAAGTACTTACTTTGAATTTTGATTTTTTCCAATTGCCATTCCTGGTTTCCAACCCATACCTCTAAGCATTGCCAAACCAAATTCTTCGATAGGAACACTATCGTAATCAATATCAGTCTGAATATATATATTATATACATATAATACAATAATATTAATTAATGTCACATGCATAAAATAATATAATAGTAATAAAAAATGATAATATTATATATACCTCATCAGGTAATCTCTCAACTTCACGTCGAAAAGCTTCTTGATCGGATAATTTCTCTTTCTTTGTTTCAAAATTCTTGTTTTCTTCCACTGAAAGTACAAGATTAGATTCTTCTATATCAACTTTTATATTTTCTATATAGGAACCTACAATTTAACAACCAATCAATCAATCAATAATTAATTAATTAATTAAAATAATCATTAATTTAAAAAACCATTATTTAAATTAAAATAATTAACCTTTCAAAAGTTCTTTTATAGCCTGCTGTTTTAATGATTGTTCATCGTCACCTTCTATTATGGATTCATTAATTTGTACTTTGCTTTTTAATTCGGATGACAATGATGATGATGACGGTGATGATGTTGATGATGGTGACGATGATGATAATACACTAGATTTTCTAGATTTGTTAGATTTACTAGATTTACTTCTTTTCTTTTCTTCTTCTTCTTCCTCTTCTTTTTCTCCTTCGGTCTTTTTTTTATTTATTACCAATCCATATGATGTTGATTCTTTATTATTATTCAATGTTTCAGTGGTTGAAGTTTTTATTACGTTGTCATCATTATTATTTTGAGAAGGAGGTAAGTAGTAAAGAGATTTATTTCGTTCTACCCAATCGACATTTTTTAAAGCCGGAATTATTAACTGTCCGTTTGTATCCTTCTTTTTATTATTATATAGACTGAAAGAAGAAACGATGGGAAGGAGGGAGAGATAATTACGGGAAAAAACTTTTATTAGACGGCCAATTCAGCGTGTAGTGATGATAGTAGTAGTATTGATAGTGATAGTGATAGTAGTAGTAGTAGTAGTAGTAGTAGTGGAGTAATAGTTGTTTCATACAGTAGTTGTTTCATACAGTAATGAAGATAACATTTGCGAGTGCTGCGTCCCATTTTACAGAGATCATAAATGTGTCTTTAACTACTGTAGAGACAAACGAACAAACAAAAAAAAACGAAAATAAATGAATTATATTAAATAAATACTAACCTTTGTATTTTATTATCTTCAAAGCCTGTAACTAATTCAATCTTTGAAGATTGATCCAAGTCATCGTAATTGTTGTCGTTGTCATAGGTGGCATCCGTGATACGTCTTTTTTTAAACTTTTCGGGTTCAAAATTATCAAAGATTCTCTTTTCTGAATTTTTTGTTGTTTTATTGTTTTTATTACTTTTCTTTTGAAGGGTCATTGAAAAACCACGATTAACTGAAGTATCTCGAGTCTCTCTTGACATTATTGATCTCTGTCTATTTGTGGATTTCTGGAATGCTAGGATTTTCTGGAATGACTTGGTAATTTTTTTCTAAATTCTTTTTTGTTCTCCAAATATTTCAATGTATGAATATATATATATAATTTAGTGTAATCACGTTTTTAAATCACGTTTTAAAAATCAAAAGTGCATTTAGACTAACATCATAGAATTTTTAAGAAATGCATGGATTGAATTAGTAAATAATTTTTATGTAATGTTTATATCTACTATGTCTAATGTCTACTTTTGGTACAGATCAAAATTTAGATATAAAGTTCTTTCTTTCTTTCTTTCTTACTCTTTTCATCTTCTTTCAAATTATCAGTTATACATTATCCGTATATTTTAATTAATTTAATTTATATTTCGCGTTTAAGTCACGAGTTCTGACCAAAAAAAACCAACCTTTCTTATCAAGTTATGTAATTATGGTAATAAATTTTAATCGAATTGAGTCTCACATTGAAGAATGGCACAAAAAAATCTTTATTGTGTTAGATCTACCGATACAAAAAAAAAAAAAACTTGATAATAAAATATATAATATATATTAATAATAATAATAAATATAATATAATAAATAATTATATGAATGCTATAAAAAAAAATATTATCAATATTTCCTTCTTCTTCGGGAGGAAACCCACTTTTGTACATTATACATTATTCTTTTTTTTATTATAATTTATTTAATTGTTATATTTGTTATATTTATTATACTTATTTGTTAGATTCATTTATTATTATTTATATTTATTTAATTTCTTAATTATCATCTACTTCTTATTTCTCTCTTTGATTATTATATATATTTTTTTTATTAATTTCGAGAGAACAACAATTATTAAAAAAAAAATTTTTTTCATTAGATAAAAAAAAAAATTAAATATATTTAATATATATATATATAAATTGATATTTATTTATTATTATTTATTATTATCATCATAATTATCATCAAATATGACAACGACACCACAACCTTCAAATACCAACCCTTCTAGAGTAATACCATTGACGTGCTCTGGGCATACTCGTCCAGTTGTACATTTACAATTTTCGCCCATCACTGATGGAACATATTATTTGATAAGTGCTTGTAAAGGTATTTTTATCTTACTCTTATTCTTCTTCTTATTATTAGTACATTCGTTTATAAATATATGAAAGTGTATATTTATGAGAAAAAAATTTTTTTTTTTTTTAGATGGAAATCCAATGCTTAGAGATGGTCCAACGGGAGATTGGATAGGTACTTTTATGGGTCATAAAGGAGCAGTTTGGAGTGCTAAATTGAGTAAAGATGCCTCGAAAGCTGTCACGGCTTCGGCTGATTTTACAGCGTATGATATTTGAATCATTTTTAATTTATTTTAATTAATTTTAATCTTTTTAATTCAATCTATTTTTTTTTTTCATTCATTCATTCATTCATTTTCAATTAATTATAATTTAATTGATTTAATTATAATTCAATTGATTTAATTATAATTTAATTGATTTAATTATAATTTAATTGATTTAATTATAATTTAATTTTTTAATTTTTTAATTTAATAATTTAAAAAAAAAAATTTTCATTTAATTCTAAAATAAATATTTTTTATAAATTTCAAAAAAAAAATAAAAATAAAAATAAAACTTTTAGAAAAGTATGGGACACTTATACAGGCGATGTACTTCATTCTTTTACTCATGGTCATATTGTACGTTCAACAGATATTTCAGATGATGGAACGCGCATTGTATCTGGGGGACAAGAAAAAAAGTTGAGAATATATGATTTAAATACAAGTGAACCAACTGCGGAGGCAGAAGGACATGAATCTACTATTAAAAGTGTCATTTGGGATGGGGAAAGGAATGTTGTATTAAGTGCTGGGGATGATAAGGAAATTCGGTAAGTCTTATGAATTATTTATATTGGGAATTAATTTTTATGTTAGGAATTATTTATTTACAATTAAAATTTTATTTTTTTTTTTTGTTTTTAGTATTTGGGATCTTCGTAATCTTAGTCAAGTTAATACTTTCAAAACAGAACATTCTATTACTAGTATGGAACTTTCAGCTGATGGGAAATATATCACATGTACGGCTGGAAAGATTGTATATTTTCTGGATGCTTCGACGTATGCAATAATAATAATAATAAGTTACCTTGTAAATTTATATTCGTAATTTATATTTATAATCCACATCATATTTTTAATTTAATATAATATAGTTATCAAGCCGCCAAATCTATCGCAACAGCTTATGATGTTTCTTCAGTTTCTTTACATCCAGATCACAAGAGATTTGTAGCAGGAGGAAGTAACGATTTATGGGTAAGGATATATGATTTCGAGAGTGGTAAAGAACTCGGTAAGTTGATTTTTTACATATAATCTTTTGTTACAATATTTATTAAATATTTTGTTTTGTAAATATTAAATATTTTGTAAAATCTATTTTTGGGTTGTAAAAATTAGAGGTTTATAAAGGTCATCACGGACCAATTCATACAGTAAGCTATAGTCCTGATGGAGAAATTTATGCTACTGGTTCAGGTGGGTGAATTTTTTTTTTTTAATTAAAAAAATTTATTTTATTTTATTTTATTTTATTATAATAATTAAGTTACATAACTGTTTCTTTTTTTTTTTTTTGACGATTTCTATTACAATTTCTATTAAACCATTTCGATTAATTCTAGAGGATGGCACTATAAGATTGTGGCAGGTAAAAATATATATATATATAATATTTAGTAATTAATATTTTTAATATATATATTTTTTTTTGTCCCGACAATTCTAACAATTAATTATATAAATTATAGACGACGCCTGGAAAGAGTTATGGACTTTGGCAAAATAAAGCTACTAAAGAAGAAAAGGAAAATGAAGTAAATGGAATACCTACAGAACAATAATAATAATAATAATTGTGAAAAAAATTTGAAAGAAAGTATAAATGAAAAGGAAAAAAAAAAAGGGAGAAATATATATATAATATTAATTAATGTTTGTAAAATTCCATTTTTAAAACCATTTTAAATCAGAGGTGTGTGTATTTAAATCAGGATATTAAATTAAAATAAGAAAGGGAAAGAAAAAAAATGATATACCACAAAATACAAAAATAATTATAATAATAATAATATAATAATAATAGTAATAGTAGTAATTAAATTATAACAAAATTGATACCAAACAAAAAACTAACCTTTTTCACAGACAACAGAAACATCTAAGCCAAAAAATCATTTGAAGTTTGAAATACTATTGTCTCATCATCACCATCACCATCACCATCACCATCTATATCTGAATTATTATTATCAAATAATGATTCATATTGTAATTGTCAAAATGTAAAATATTGAAATAGTGAATAATGAATGAATTATAACCATTTGGAAGTGAAATATTTGAAATGAATGAATGAATGAATGAGTAAATGAGTGAATGAAAATATTAGTGAAAACAATTACCTATATCAATATTATCAATATTGGAAGAATGTGTAGGAATATCACCATAATTTTCATTAGAAACGATTATCCTTTATTATTTTTATTTTCCAATAATAAAAGTTTTAGAATGTAAATTTCAATGATAAATGGAATATATATATACAAATATATTCAATATATATCCCAATTTTTAACTTACTAAATAATTTATATTATATTATATTAAATATATATATAATTTTTTTTTTTATATCATAATCATTCAATCAACTTGAAATATTATTGACTCATACCCATCATTTAATTCATCCCCTTCTTGTTGTTGTTGGTGATGTTCAAAATTATTATTATTAAGATTTGATTCCAAATTACTTAATTGTGTCATAAATGGACGTCTTAAAGGTGATTGACCATCTGACATTGAGGATGGTGCGGGACTGGCTGATCTTGTTGATGTTGAAGTTTTCTTTGATATTACTAATATTTTTGATTATTATTATTATTATTATTATTATTATTATTATTACTATTATTATTGCTATTTGATTTATTATCATTATTGTTATTATTATTATTTGATTTATTATCATTATTGCTATTATAGATAAATTATAAATATAATATCTTAATTTATACTTACATTTTAACTGATTGAAAAACAAATAATTAAATTACTTAAAAATCTTTATAATAATAATAATAATTCAAATAATATAAATAATTTAAATAATTTACCTTTGCTCCAGAATTTGATATGAAATTTGGTGTATCCACTGAATCTGATTCTAAATTCATAAAATAATTAGATCATGAAATAATAATAATAATAATAGTAATATTAATAATAATAATTTTGATACCGACGAATTGATTTTTGCTTTTTAACTTTAGGATATTTAGCAGGTGACGATGCCTAATGATATTTAAATAATTTAATATTATGTAATATTATGTAATATTTTATGAGAGTTAAATTTAATGTTACTAATATTACGCAATGTTACATGATTTACACAATATTACATAATAATATATAATATTGAATCATCTTTAATAAATTAAGATTTTGATTACCCTTGACTTTCCGTTCACTTTCTTGCCTATAAAACATATTTAAATATTTAATTATATTAATGAGATTATATTAATTAAAATGAATTCGATTAATTGGATTAATTGGATTAACTTACGCTTTTTGTCCGTATATAAACTTCCATCCGAATCACTTGGATCTTCTGAAAGTAATGGTGTATGAGGTGATGATGGATTTCTTTCATTACCCATTCTTTTTTTTTCATTTTAAAATAAATAATTTAATAAATAATTTATTAGTTAATTAAAAAAAAGGAAACTTCATTTTAATAGATTTTTCTTGATATAAAAAATACCTTAGGTTAGCAACCCGACTTGAACTTCTACCAGCCAATCCCATACATTTTTCCAGATGTGGCGCGTATCGTTGAGATGGATATGGTCGTTGACAATTTACACATTCAAAAGTTGGTGAATTATTTGGTTGTGGGTGATTACCAAAAATGTCAAGTCCCGGTTGTGCTACTACATAAATTTTATTCTTTTTATCATCATCAAAACTTTCTTTACTCATTTTTCTTGGTTTTCTTATTATTTTGTTGTTTTTGTTAATTTTTTTTGTTTAATATATCAATTTTTTTTTTTTACTTACCATATGAACGACATCTAAATATGAAAGCATTTATATTTTAATAAAATTGCTTCTTTTAATTTCTTTTTTAAATTCTTTCGAGAAAATTGATTGTAATTGATTACAATTGATTACTTACTCGACATTACATAATTGACATTTGGAGGTGGCCAATTTAGCTTCTCTATGTGCTTCAAATATTACATCTATTGTACATTCATCCAATAAATCACAAAGAATTGAAAATGTCTATCGAACAAAACAATACAAAATAATACAAAAAATGATAAAAATAATATGATTTAAAAATTTTCATCATTATCGACAGTATTATTAAGTAGTATTAAGTATTATTATGTATCCATTACCAACGCTGAGTTAACTTTGGTAGTTGTTGTACTTTGAGTACGTGAGGAAAACTCTGAAAACTCTTTAAAGTTGTCAGGTGATCCTATTGAGTTATTTAATGAGCTATAAAGAAAGTATATTTTTTTTTATTTTTTATTTTTTTTTTAAAAAAAAAGGTATTCAGAAGTTACCGAATGGCAACTTCAAACATTCATCAACAACCTTCAACATTCATCCTTATTCAACACTCGACATTCATCAACGTATATTATTGTGAAGTGAAAAAAAAATTGTTTACATACTCATCAACTTCACCATTACTTTGAACATACTGAGAATCAGGGGATGGTTCTGAAACTGACATTTTCGAGTTTAATAATAGTAATAATTGTGATATTTCATCTTTAGTATACTTTATTTATATATGTGTATATATGTTATATACTTACATTTATGTATATTTTTTTACATAGCATTAAATTTTAAAGTTTGTATATTCTTTATTGTATCACATATGCACAGTAAAGTTGTACTACAATTTTTCATGATAATCTTTTTTATCCCACGTCCAGTCTATTATAAAAGACTCAAAATTATTTTTATTGAGTCATATAAAAAATATGACGTTGACTAAAAAGTAGGCTTAGACAAGTCAAAAAAGGAATTTGCATGATAATAATAATCAATCATCATCATCAAATAATAATCAATAATTGAACATATAATGAATAGTAACATGATTTTTGTTAGTAAATTTTTTTCAAGTGATTTACACAAAAATACCTTTTTTAGATTTCTGACTTGTGCTATTCCTTCCGTTCGTTATTACGCGTTTATATTTTTATGAATACGCAAACTGCACCTTATTGCTTATGAGAAAAAATGTTTTGCACCAACGGAATTACTTCACGTGAGACAACAAAATAAAACTTATAAAAGAAGTCAATGTTGCAAAATTGAAAACTTATCTTTTTTTCTCGTCCTCTCGTTTCCCCTTGGTTATCTACTCTCATTTTGAAAGTTAAATTTGATTTATGACTTTATTTTCATAAGAAATGGTTACCTTTCTTTAAAAAAAATCTGGCTATAATATGATTCTTATGATTTTATTTTCATAATGAAAGATTTCTCTTTTATATTTGAGAGAGA